TGAAAAGGTCTTTCGGGATCCTTTTTAAACACTTAGTTGTCGGTCTTTGTCGGTGGTCCTTAAAGGTTTTTATTACCACTTACAAAAGGTTGTCCTAATGGATTACCCTCCCTCAGGTACCGCCAGATGTGAACACTTATGTTTATTTATACATTTAAAATAATTATTCCACCGGCGGTCTTTACAATAGATAGCAATTTATAATAAAAACAGACTATCGTCCTGTCTATCGTCCATTCTGCATCAGTGGTCGAAACACTCAAACAAATAATTAAATAATATTTTTATTTCACAGTGACGCTGTCGCCAAGGAGCCGTTATATGCTTATCACCGGAACATAATCACTGTGATTATTTGTCACAGTGACTTTCCCGGAGCTGTCACTGTCGGAGCTGTGACTGAAAATCTCTGTCACATCCTAACACTAAGGCAAGCTCTCTGAAGTAGGGTTAGTTCGCCTCTCCATCACTCGGTGGCGAATATTGAATAATCAATATTCTTCCCGTGTTCGTGTACTTTCTCCCGCAACGTTAAGAAAATCACAAAATTTTCTCAACACATTTTGCGTTTAGAATTCGGGCATGCATAAATGAAATTTTTTAAAAATAATTTTGTCTAGAATCAACCCCTCTGAGTTGGCCATTAAGAGATGAGCCAGACTGTATTCTTTCGAGACGACTAAGTAGAATTGAAAACGCTAATCTAGAAGGTCTCTCCGCGTACACCAAATTTCCTTGAAGCGGTCAACAGACTGGAAGATAAGAAAACAAATAAAATGTGACTAGTATATGGAAATATAGAAAGTCTCTGACAGGGAAAGTGGGAAATATTCCCTGTGAAGAGTAGGTTGGTATTCCTGATATTTTTCAAATATTTAGGGAAAATAAAAAGTTTTGTATAAATAAATTTCCGTTATTTTATAACCGAAGATACTATCTGTGGTAATTGAAGTTTTGCAATTCAATCAATAAGAACAAAATTAATTTCTTTATCTCTTAATAAACTACATTAACTTATTTCTATATTATTTTGTCATTTGTTGACTGATCAATATCCTAAGCGAAATATTCGTCATTTCGGCCAACTACTTATTTTCTTTTAAGTCCATAATGGACAGATTGCGATGATTTTTTTTTTTTATATTTGTAGGTAATTCTGTAACGTTTTAAATAATTATGGATGTATTAAACCATGGATTACTTCCTTTTTAAGTTATAAACAAATAATGTTTCATTTTTTTCTTGATTTTTTTTTCTGAAATTTGTAAATGTTATATCTGTTCTTATATTATTTAATGTTTATATTTTTCTTAGGGAAGAGTTTTTACTTCTTTTAGGTATGTGATATGGAAACTCTTCTCTTCTGTTTATTCAATTTATTCTAAATAATTCTTATTTATCTAGATACAGCTGTTTAACGTTTCGGACTCTTTTTCAATCATCAGAGACACATCCTTCTTCACTGTTATAACAACCTTTCTGCATACTATAACATTTGTCTTTTTTTTTCCTTGTCCTATTTGACAATTATATGCCACCTAAGTTAATTTTCATTATCCCACTGTATGAAAATTGTATAAAAAAAGACATATGTTAATAGTATGCAGAAGAATGTTCTAACAGTGAAAAAGGATGTGTCTCTGATGATGTACAATGAGTCCGAAACGTTAGGCAGATGTATCTAGATAAATAACACTTATTTAGAATTAATTAAATACACGGAAGAGTCATATGTTGTGATTAGTTATAATTTAATCTAATTTCGATAGAACAGGAAGCAAGGTTAGAAATGATAGAATTTGGGTGGTTCTAAAGTTCATTATGGAAGGATAGGTATCTGGATTGGGCCAAAACTGGATTGGGGAAAACCTTATTTTTCCCCCATTATTTTTAAAATTTTATTTACCAATGGAACCCGAAAGCTTAACTCCGTAACTATAATGGAGTTCGTCTAGTAAGTGCTGGAGTAGTCGAAGAAGTCCGGCGGTTTCTAGTCGTTTCAGTCTGGTATGAGGATTCCAACTAAGTTGTTTGTTCAGGTAGATTTATAGTTATCGGATTCGTTCATCGCCAATAAATGGGATATTATTAAAGGATATTATTTGATTAAGAAGAAGCTTTGGTACTCTTACGCGAAGACGTTGAAACTATAAAGCTGAATACGACAACGTTAATGAAAGCCGGTAAAGAACTAAGACTCGAAATAAACGTGGATAAAACAAAATATATGGTTAGCTGCAAAAATGGCAATACTACTGGTGATATCGATATAGATGGTAATATGTTTGAACAGGTAGATAAATTTAGGTATCTAATTTCTACGATAACTAGAAAAAACGAAATTGAAGAAGAGATTAAGGTTAGACTGAAGGCGGGAAATGCTTGTTATTTTTCTGTGACAAAACTACTTAGTTCGCGCCTCTTGTCCCGGAACTTAAAAATTAGAATCTATAAAACAATTATCTTGCCTACAGTTCTTTATGGATGCGAAACTTGGCCGCTTACATTAAGGGATGAGCAGCGTCTTAAGGTTTTTGAAAATAAAGTATTGCGTAGAATATTCGGACCGAAGAAGGATGAGTTAACCGGAGAGTTCAGACGGTTACACAACGCCGAATTGCGTGAACTGTATCCGTGTAATATAATTGAGGTAATTTCATCGCGGCGAATCAAATGGGCTTGTAAAATTGTTGGGCTTAGTAATGAGAGAATTCCTAAAAGGTTAATATTTGCTGTACCGAATGGTAAGCGTCCGAGGGGTAGACCGAAGTGAAGGTTGGAAGATTGCATTAAAGCCGATCTGAAGGGAGTGGGTTTGGACGGCGAACGGTGGAGGGAGGTGTGTATTAAACGATTGGTGGTGTCGGCATCGAACCTTCGGATTCGCTAAGCCTTTTATTATTATTATTACTATTTGATTAAAAAGAAAATCTGTAGCGGTGCGTGCCTCACACAACTTTCGCTTACTACCCTCGTCTTAGTATAAATACGTATTTTCAGACAAAGGAAAGGGAAAGTAAAAATTATAGACGGTACGAAACATTATTTAAAACAATTAATTACGATATATTTTCTATAGTCGTCTAATTTATTATATTTATCTGATTATAATAAATAATTAAGAGTCACGAAATATTTTTAGTCCGATAAGATTGCCAATGATAAAGATATTTATATCTATGCTATATTTCATTGTAGATATTTGTATTTGTTTAAGTATCAGTATATATCAAATTTTAATATTTATATCGCTGTAATCTATACAATTAAATATAAATAGTATCAATAGCATTTGTTGAAATCTTGATTACTTTGTTTACATCCTTGGATATTATTTAGGTAATCCTTACCTCTATCTGATTATTTTCTTTACACGTCAGGATAATAATCCCAATTAGTTTGTATTTTTCTTTTTCTCAATCAACATGGAGTGGGGTGATAAAGAAAACCGAATAGCTGTGATCGCCTTACACAAAGTTGGAAAATGTTGGTCAAAGATTTTCAACACTTTGAAACCTTTGGGTATCAGCAGTATGCTCGTGCACTCTACTATAAATAGATACATTGAGACCCTATCTGTATGTGACAGACCTCGTCCCCGCACTCTCGGAACGGCAAATGCAGTGAGAGCTGCAGCTGCTCGAATCAGATGAAATTCTTTTCGAAAACAACAAATCGTGTCTCGGGAAATGGGAATCTCTGTCAGATCAATGTCTCGCATGATAAAAAGTGACCTTAGGATGGATGCATTTCGAAGAATGGGAGAGCAAAGGCTGATCACTTTCATGATTTCATAGAATGGATAGATAAAAAGTGCTCCTTGGCCGTTACAACAATGGTCTTCGTCGAAAGATTTTGTTTAGCGATGAGAACATTTTCACAATTGAAGTAAATTAAAAAACATAAAAACACTGTCATACCTCTATACAATATATAAAATCAGGCAGGAAACCCCAAGCCAGGCTTCTCTCTCCAGCTATAGAAGGAAAAGCAGGACTCCAAGGTATCCCTGCGCTACGCTCTCAACCGCGTCACTGATGCTAAAGTGGAACGAGAGCGCTTTAGCCACATACACTCATGTCTTGAGTGGAGAATCTGACCATTGCCAGAACTCCAAGATATATACTACAAAAGATCTCTGGGACACTGCCGCTTTAATCTTCGAGGAAGGTTGTAGGGATGAGTGGAACTAGATAGAGATTGTGGATTTGGATGATTAGTAAGGTTCTGATGGAATTTGGAAAAATATTCAGGGATAAGATCTTGGACAAATGGGATATTAAGGTCATGATGTAGGGTTTTGTTGGTTACATAGAACGGAGCATCGACTATTGTTCGGAGGACTTTGGATTGAAAGGATTGGATGCGTTTAATGTTAGAAATTTTAGCTGTCCCCCAAAGTTCAAGTCCAAATAGGTTTCAGGATTTGTATCTCAGTAATTTGTTGTCAATTTAAAGTTGTCATTTTATTTTTTATTGTGCATAGTTTTTGATTATTATTTAGTTATTATTTTACTTTTGTTAATTTTATTTTTCCTATATATATGGTGTGAATGTAATCACTATAATAATTGTCCACGTGATAGATAATTATATTTCTAAATAAATAAAAAACAATTGAAGAAAAATTGAATCGCCAAAATGCTCGTGTGTAGCTCTAAAGAAGTCCAGGCAGTTGTTGGAAGAATGGAAAGAGGCCATCACTCTTCTTCAGTGATAGTTTGCTGGGGAGTTCGCTTTGATGGCACCCCAATCTCCATTTTTTTTAAAACAGCCGCTAAAAACTATCTACACGATATTTTGGAACCTGTTGTCAAGCCTCTAAATGATATTCTGCTAGAAGTCATGGGGTTTTCCAGAAAGATTCCGCTCCAGCTCACAATTCCAGGTCCACTCAGTAGTGGCTGCAAAAGAACATTCCAGGGTTCTTCTCTGATTGGCCCTCAGGAAGCCCTGACCTCAACCCACTAAATTATCGGCTGTGGTCCGAACTGGAGAGGATGGCATGCCACAGAGCACTCCCTAACCTGGAAAGCCTCAAACAATCTCTGGTCCGAGCAGTTGAGCGCTTTCCTCAAGAAGTGCTGCGTGCTGCTATTGATGACTGGTCACGGAGATTAAATGCCTGTGTCAAGGCAAAAGGAGGACATTTTGAGTAATTTCTTTTTTTCTTTACTCTCTATAGATAAACATTTCATTTTCTAATAAGATTTTTGTATGAAATAATTTTTTGTTGAAATCTGTATTTTTTTATTTCTTTGTAACAATATTTATGACAGGTCTAGTTATACGTATATAAATTTCGGAGTCCGTACTATCACACGTCCGTATGTATCACCATTGCAATACTTTCCCTTACTATATATTTGATACAACTCAATTTGGTATTTTTCTCAGCTTTCGTTCCATCATTATATGATTGTCGTTAGATAGAAATTTGTCAAGAGAGATTGATCTTCGTTTTCGCTTCGCATTTTATTATATATTTTTAAATAAAAAATCAATATTTCAAAAATATGAATAATTTCGATACATATAAGTTCTATCTAGGAAGGTTCGGCCTTATATATAAAATCCTCTGTAAATGTAAATCTCTTTCTCTTTCTGTCTCAACCAACCGCAGGCAATCTTTTTATTCAGTCTGCCGTTCCACTTTAGTGTGTAGGAGTTTTTTATCTATTCTATTCAATCCTCTTGATATATTTTCCTTTGAGGTATCTTCGGCCTGGTATTTTAGACGTAGGTCTAGTTTCCAATATTTCCCTTTTTTCATTCTCATAATTCATTTATAAACATTAAACTTTAAAATCAAACGAAGATGTGGATCTGATGGGGTTGGGTTTGGAACACTCCGGGTAGATGGAAGAAAATTGACGTCGATTGGTGTTATCGGCATCGAACCTTCGGGTTTACTAAGCCTTACTATTATTAAAATGTATAATCAAATAGTATTTATCATTAGGCAGGTTTTATCTTTATTCTTTATTTAATAATATTTAGATTAGTTCAGTTGCGCTATTGATAAGCTTTAGTGTTATCAATAAAAAATATTTAGAAACAGTGATATAAATAATGTGAATGTCATTTTGTTCATAACATCTAATGTTCAAACTTTTCTTCGATTTTTTAATTCTGCGTTGCCTGAAACGTAAAATCTCAAATTTTGAGGAGGAGAGATTGAGGTTTTGAATTTTTTGGACGATTACGATGGTTCTTTATTGAAAATCCTTAAGTGAACAAAAATACTTTTTGAGTTACTCAGAAATCTAATTTCATAACCCGTTCTAACGTTTTTTCCAGTCACTTTTCGTTGAAGTATGTTATATAGATATATTTAAAGGGCATCAAGAAGGAGACTTTAGTCAAGTTTCATCGAAATCGGCACATTATTTTAGGCACTACAGTCTATAGCAACGCAGGTTTTTCGGTTGCCATCTTCAAAGGAAAAGGCGGATAGAAATGTCGATGAAGGAAGATCATCCTCGGTTGATCTCTGATGTTATATCCAAATTTGAAAAAAAAAATCGGTTCAGTAGTTTCAGAGAAAATCCGCGGACGTCGGACGGAAAAAAATTATTCGTTTTTCGAATTCTACGTATCCTGAAACGTAAATCATCAAATTTTGAGAGGGAGTTAAGTTTTTGAATTTTCTGTTCGATCATAAGTGTTTATTATAGAAAATAATAACCCAAAAATATTTAAAAATCGCGATATCTTTACTAATAGTGCTTTGATTTCGATGAAACTTTGTTCATTTTTTTAAGGAAATTTAAATACCTTTGAAACGTCTTATCACAATATGAACAAAAAAGTGAATAATTTTTGAGTTATTCGGAATTTAATTTTACCATCCCTCATAACTTATTTTCCTGCTTCTTTTCGTTGAAATATGTTATATAGAAAAATGTAAAGTGCTTCGAGAAGAAGACTTAAGCGAAGTTTCATTAAAACCGGTACATTCCTTAGGACTGGACTATTCCCAATACTTCATCATAAACATTTTTTTTTTATATATCCTGAAATTCTTGGCGCTTTCCTTTGATCAGGCCGTCTTTTTTATTTTATCAAGATGCTTATTGGAAAAAATTCGGTCTGTGCGGCAAAACTTGGGAGATAAGCCTTAATACTTTGCCTCTAATCCACCTCTGTCGGCAATTATTAAAATTTCTCTACTATTGGCTAATTCTACTTATTGTTATATTTATGGAATATATTTCAAATGTATGCAATATATTTAAAGTTTTAACTGGATTTTAGTTACGAACCGGAATTGCAATTTAATCTACAAAATAAAAATAGATTGGTCTAATTCCTTTAGACCAGGACATTAACAGGACACCTTGGTTTAGTCTATTTCATGTATATTGTTTTAATTAAAGTACTTTTAATGTCTGAATAGCTAGACCTAAAGTATGTCTCATGTCTGAATAGCTAACCTAAAGTACTTTTCATGTCTGAATAGCTAACCTAAAGTACTTTCCATGTCTGAATAGCTAACCTAAAGTACTTTTCATGTTTGAATAGCTAACCTAAAGTACTTTTGATGTCTGAATAGCTAACCTAAAGTACTTTTCATGTCTGAATAGCTAACCTAAAGTACTTTCCATGTCTGAATAGCTAACCTAAAGTATGTCTCAGACAAGACTCTGCGGTTGCAGATCGTGCTGATGGAGAACGAGACGGAGTCCAACTTCGCCAACCTGTCCTTCCCGGAGCTGAGCGAGGTGAGCTCCTACGTGATCTTCTACCGCGTGCACGGCCTCACTTCCATCGGACGGCTCTTCCCCAACCTGGCCATCATCGGCGGGGACGTCCTCTCTCTGGATTACGCCCTCATCATCACCCAGATGCCGCACCTGAAGGAGATCGACCTGTCTGAGCTGAGGCTCATCCTCAGGGGATCCGTGGCCATCTTCAAAAATCCAAGTTAGTAGTTCTTTATTTATTACTATTTATTACTCAACATTCTGTACACTTCTGACATTCCTACAAATCCCAATATCTTCCTGGCAACCTTTGCAGATGATGCCGCTATCCTTTTCCTCTACTCAGAACCTGAAATGGCATACCTAAATACCTAAACAAAGTCACCTTTCCCTAATTGAGCAGTGGTGCAAAGATTGGCGTATTAAAGTAAATGAATCAAAGTGTGAGCATATCACTATCAACCTCAGACACACAAAGATCTAAGGGAAAACAGCGCACCTAGCAAATTAAAAACAGTAAAGAAAGAGGTGCAACCGTGGACCAGCTCCAGACGCAGCAGTCGTAGAGAAGAGGTCGTCCTCACGCGGCTGAGGATCGGACATACTAGACTGACTCACCTCCACCTCATAACAAAAGATTCTATCCCCCGATGTCAAAAGTGTAACCAATCACTAACTATAAAACATATTTTGGAAGAATGCCCTTTTTACACCGCAAGATTAAAAGATTGCGGAATACCCCAGAATATATCAGCATCCCTGGGAAATCAAGAAGAAATCGTTACCAAAGTCATCAAGTTCCTGGATAGTGAAAGACTTAAAAAACACATTTGACAGGTTTTTTTTTATTTATTTTTTTTTTATTTATTAACTTTTTTGTATCTATTTATTTTTATTATATTTTCTCTTATTATTATTTATTTATTTATTTTTTCACTTGATTTCATTTCATTTTAAATTCATTTGTTTATTAATCTCAATTCATTTATTGATTCTACTGCTATTTTCTTATAAGTTTATTTATTTATACATTTTTTATACATCTTATTACCTATAAATGTCTATTATTATTATTATTTATTTATTTTATTCTATCAATCCATTTCTCTATTTATTCTATTTTATTTTTATTTTTTATTTTTTTTTATTTTTTTTTTTTTGTACCAATCATCCAAATAGTATTAAATGATGTTATTTAGTTGATCGGGCGCCTATGACCTGGATGTTTTGCGCCTAGACATCAAAACAAACAAACAAAGATCTAAAAGATGAAATTTAATCCGTACCAGCAACCGTTGCAACAGTTGCTCCGAGGGCGCCCTCAGGAAAAAGAGATGTCTTTACCAGCATAAAGATGTTTTTGCAAACTTCGTATAACCTACCACTTCATTAAAGTACAGTCCACTGCATACCTAAGTAGAATGTTGCCTATTAAGAACTAATGAGAGATACTTGCCTTGCCTTAATTAAAATTTAGAAAATAGCCAATATGTAATGATATTTATATATGAAGGAAATGGGAGTGGGGTTGCTCAGTGATAGGGTGCTAACTTCTAGTGTTGAAGGTCCCAGGTCCGAGTCCAGCAGGTATATAATTTATTATGTTTCTTCGGCCCTAGTTCGACCCTCCTGGGGTATACAAACCTCTATAAATTGGGTACTCTTAAATAAATTATTAATTAAGGGGTAAAATCTGCTGGTTTAGCGTCATCACGGTCAAATGATCTCCTTGCACAACCGAGGACCTATTTTTAAAATTTAAACGTAAGCATTCCATAGCAATTACAGATCCTAGTGAACTATCCAAAGAAACCGGGTCTTGTTAACCGCTTTTTAAAACTAAATTTCGAAATTTAAAAACTAATTTCAAAATATTAAAACTAAATCTCTTCTCGATCCATCGACTTTCTCAATCTTGTTTAGTTTTCGTTGTTTTTTAAACATATATTTATGGTGTAATATATCATTCTAGCAATTTGACAATAGATATAGTGAGTAAAGATCACATTCACACAACGTAAAAAGTGTGAATATAAAATAAACAGAAGACTAAAATAATAACGACTAAATAATAATGAAAAAGTATGTACAATAAATAAAAATAAAATAATTTAAATATGTGTAAATGAAACAAACAAAGAAAATTTCTATTGTTGTAAATTTTACAATTCTTAAAAACTAAGGTGTGTACTTTAGGTCTCATATTGAATATTTAATAGTTGACCGTTGCATTATAAAGGAAGAAGATGGTCCGGGGTTGCGGTCATAAAAAGGCTAAATAGTGTTCAAACTATTTTATTAAAAGCCAACGTTTCAAAAGACAAAATTAGAGACTTACAGGTGTGTTCCTCTAGGAGTTTCACTTAGAACTGGAAAGGCAGCGGTAAGGATTGCAGGTATAGGGGGAGTTAACATGTGTTAGTTAACTAAGTAAACATTGAAAAACCCAGGAATGTACAGCACCTAGGAATTTTTGAAGATATGGATGGATACAATGGAAAAATCTCCAGTCTCTAATTTTTTCTCCTGTAGTTTTTGTAGAATTATACTCACATTTTCATTTGTTACATATTACACTACAACAATTGTTAGCATCTATTTACTTCAGTTTAGGATCTTGTTACTCAGCTTACTTAGTCCATATTTTATTGTACTTACTGTTTATAATTCTAATAAGCTTATTCACATTGTTTATAAATTATGTCTAAATATTATGTAATTGCCACATTTCTCTATCTTTTTGTATCTTGTCCGTTCTAGCCCTGATGAAGACCTGCAAAGTCGGATCGAAACGTAGGCTTATATAATTTCTTATTCTTTTTCTCTGCTTTACATTTTATTCTATGATTAACTCACTTCCTTGTAGCATACTATTACATCATATTTTAGTAACCATGTCACCCCACTTTTTTTTTAACTTACCAATATATCTTATACATAGTAAGGGTAAAAATATGTATTGCCATCCTGAAAATTTTTCAATCTGAGTTTTCAACGGAAATACACGTTTTGCGGTCCACTGAGTATAACCAAGTCCCACAAAATGGTCTGTGTTTGTGTTAACAGTCTAGCTCAAAAACGAAAAGTAGTACGGAAGTGAAATTGCGTATTTAAGGTTTTTATATGCTAGAGGTGTTACAGCAACTTTTTCTTCAAAATCGGCTAACCGGAAGTGGCACTTTATATAGTGCACTAAATACACTTTTACAATTATCTCTAAAACCGCTCTAACGATTTTGATAAAATTCATCATATCAGTGTGAAATTGAGCAGTTTTAAATAAAATGTGGTTATTATTCTGATTAATGTTCTCTAACACGGCTTAAATGGCTAATTTTCAATATTAGTTTCCTGTAAAGTACCTTTAATTTTTTTTTATTTGAAACAATTGACCATTTAAAATTAAATTATAATATTATAAATTGTTAAATATAAAATATGAAAGAATTTCATGAATAGCTAAACGAAAAATTAGAGATCGTAACGAAGAAGAGTTATAATACAACACGCTTCCAAATATATCATGAGGTTAAGATAATACGAACTCCGACGATATTATATAAATATACATATATGGTTTTCATAATGCTATTGTTGGTATTATTTAATATTTAATTGTATATATTACAGCAATATAAATATTAAAATTTGTTTATATGAGGGTATTTGTACAAATAAAAATACCCACAATGAAATATAAATAAATATAGAGTCTATAAGTTTTACTTTCACTTCACTTTGTCGGATAATACTCATTTCTGCTAAGAAAAGGATGTTAAGTGAAAGTTGTATGATAGGCACACCACACCAGATTTTTTTTAGTCTATACCTTTCACATTATTAATTTTAATTATTCATTGTTCAATGTTTATAGTTTCTCATACCTATTGCTATCTGTTTTTTCGTAGTCTTGATGAAGGCCTGAACTTTAAGTCGAAACTTATTGTTGACAGGCGCAAATACATATTTAATAGACAAAAAAAAAAAAAAAAAGTCGAAACGTTGGCAAAAATAAAAATAAAATATAATTATTTATTTATTTTTTCTAATCACCTAAATCATTCTTTTCTTAAATTATAAATAATATTATATTACAGAGAGAATAAAATGCAGAACGATTCCCTCGCTTACAGTATGCAGCTCCGATTTTTAGTCTCTCAGATATTTTAATCTTTATTTATTTAATTTTTATTTTCTCAGATTCCGTTTGTTGTAACTATATTTGATTTATAAAAGGATTTGTTTCATTTCCATGCAATTGTTATGTTTTTCTATGAATAAATGAAGTCGAAATTTCTAAAAAAGACTTGTTAACCTATGTCAAAAGTGAACTTAGCGGCTTTTTGGTATAAACCGACGATATCTTTAAAAAACTTGTTATGATTTGGTTTTAAATCCTATTTTTTTCCTTTCCGCCTCTCTAACACGGCGTCGCGTTAAGATACAATTTTGAATAATATCTCATTATAAAGAGGATAAAATGGTTAACATTTCAATATGGAGATCAGATTTACAGTTTTTGTGATATTTTAATCCATATGCAAAAATATTTCAATAAGTCAACTCCAGGCGACATTACCGAGCGTTACACATCAGCGATCTGACGGCTCAATCTAATTCATTCTCCAAAAAAAAAAAGTACGAAACAAGCCTAAAGAAGTTTTCACTTAAAAACAGACAAACCTATCATCACTATTTATAATCAGGCGAGAGAACTCTCAAGCCAGACTTGTTCCTCTAAATATGAAGAGAAAAGCAGGACTCTTGGAGATCTCTGCGCTTCTATCTCAACCGCGTCACTGGTGCTATAGTCAGTGGAGATTGAGCGAGGAGAGCGCTTTAGCCGCATACTTGAGTTTTATTGAAATTGTTAGTATTTGAAGATCGGTATTTGGGTTCGTCATATCTTCAAGAAATCTATTTTGGTTAGATAGCTCATTTACCAAGATCCTTGACTCCTTAGAGCCGTATAAGGGATCTATACCTACATAGTATAGATCATTAGAAACATAATGGCTGTGTGATGTGGAACGAAGGAAAATGGCAAGCTACGGGACATTAGATACGTGTTATCCTATCCACTTCCTGGTGGAGGAAGAATACAGTCGCTGACTCCGGCTTTAACGAACCTATCAGCAGTTCTTGGTAATCTGTCTGAGCTAACTGAACTGAT